GAATTAAGCTATAGTAATCTTCACTATTTGGCTGCCTAGAATCCAAATCCCTTCCTAATATTGATGAACTCCTCATTGTACTTAGATTCTAGAAGGCTGTATATTCCTTTCATTAGGGAAATTAAAGTAGCCTTATCTCCTGTATTCTCCGTGCCCTGGTTGCCAGGTAATAGGAATGTGACCCAGGCTCAGTGAATTGGAAGCTCCTTCCCAGGAATCTGGAGAAAGTGAAGTAAATCAAAGGATGGCCAGTATTTATTTACAATGAAGTGAGTGGCGTGGGTCCAAGTGCAGTTATACTCTGGCCAAATTGCTAAAAGCTGAGCTTCTTGTTTCATGGCCCTTGGGAGCTGGTCCAAGTTTCCAAACTTAGTCCTCCAGCTGCCAGTAGATCCTGGGAGGCCACAATATTCTTCCAAGTAATAGTATTTATTTATAATTATATTTATTTATTTTACTTAAGAGAGCCAAGCTAACATTGGTTTCCAGTGATTACAACCCAGATCCTGACATGAGTCAAATCCTTGTTTGGAAAAGCAACCTGTTATCAGCTGGGCAGCTACTTACTAATTATTTGAATTCCAATTCTACTGTTAATTTTTATGATAATTACTGGTTTAACTTTATCCAGTATTCTGTGGGTTTATATGGGTGCCTACAGTCCAACAGAGGCAAATTATTTAATTTTATATTGAAGTAGAACCATGGACCAAAAGATTTCCAGAGCTGAATTATTTGACAAAGAGAATGCAGACATCAAATTTAATTCACAATTCCTCACCAGGATAGCAGATGCCTTGCACTGTGGATTTCACAATGGAGAACGTTCTCCAGTTACCTGTGACCATTTGAACCAGCTAATTCAGTTTAGAGAAAGAATCACCAGATGAATTTTCTTCTCTCTCATCACTAATTGAGGTTTAATTAAATACTGCCTTAGAGCATAAAAGGAAACCCTGGTCCATGCCTACTTCTTTACCTTATCCAAAGAAACTGAGAGACATGGAAGGAAGGAAAAATAACAACAGAGAAAGTGCAATTGGAAACTGAAAATTTCAGGCATCAAGGGAACTCCTAGGAAAGAAAATTTGCCATGTGCTTCTGAGATGGTCAGTTCAAACACCAATTTTGTTGTCCAAATCTCCCACATGGTGTCCAATTACAGCTAGTTATCCAGGGTTTAAAAAACATTCCCCCCCCCCCTTGAAGCAATTTACTATAAGTTAGTTAAAATGTTCTAACCATAAAGCACCCTTGAATATTGTTTTTATATTTTGAGAATTTCCCAGATATAACATATGCCAATTCAAGCAGAATGTGGAAAACATTTTAACATTTGTGGAAGCAAGAGTTTGCACATGGTTTATAAATGCACAAACCTCTTGTGTTTCTCTCTACTGTGCCCTGTAGAGGTTTGTGACTTAGAATTGTTTGAGTTGCATTTTTCATACAGTGTGAATTTTGGCTGAATTCTTTTTTAGAATCACATTCTTTTATTTATTCTGAAGTGTTGAGATTCTTACCTCTACGAAATTGCTAGAGAAAAATATTGTGCAGAAGAAAAATGCTAATAATGATATGGTTTATTGAATTTTACTGAATGCTGGAGACTATGTGCTATGGACTGAATTGTGTCCCCTCAGAATTCACATGTTGAAGTCCCAGCTGCCAGTGTATTGATATTTAGGATAGGGCCTTTGGGGCATATTTGGGATGGGGCCTATGAGATGCGAGGGTGGGGCCCTCATCATGGGATTAGAGTCCTTATAAGAAGAGATACCAGAGAGCTTGCTCTCCTTCTCTCTGCCATGTGAGGAGGTGGCTGTCTGCAAGCCAGGAAGAGGTCCTCACCACAACCCAACCATACTGGCACCCTGATCTTGGTTGGGCTTAAATATCCCAGTCTATTCTATTTTGTTATGGTAGCCTGAACTGACTAAGACACTGTTAAGTGCTTCCTAGGTACTAGTCGATGTTCTTCTCATAAGGCCTCTATCAAGTAGGCATTTAATATCACCCCAAACTTACATCTGAAGAAAGTGAGGAAGGAGAGTTTCAGCAACTTGTGTAGCAAAGCTATTAAGTGGCAGAGCCAGGATATAAATCTAGCCTGTCAAATGCCAAAGCTTGCCCCCCTACTGTGATGTCTTAACTTTCCATTTATGTAAATTCACCACTCAAGAAACATTTTAAGCACATTTGTCATATTCATCAATATATAAATTTACCTCATATTTCTTTGTGAAACTTTTTTAGGTCTCTCATGGTCCCTGCTCTTCCTGTAGTTACTGTCTGAAACACAGATATTAAGGACAGTTGTCATTGGCTTCTAGCTTTGAGTTCTTCGTGCTTTCATCCAGGCTTCTAGTCTTCTACTGACTTAGTAATTTTGCTCCAGGGGTTCTTCATTAGCACTGCACGTCACTAAGGTACCAGTTCCACTTCTCTTATTTGTCTTTACGTATTTCTACCTGTGTAACTTCAAACTTGAAATATTTTGCGTGAAACTCATCTTCTTTACCCACTCTGTCCCCCTTTTCTATTTTCCCTGTTAACAAAATTTCTCAATAACCTATAATTGAAATCTTGAAGTCACCCTTGACTCCTCTCCCTGCCTTAACCCTGCAGAGGATCACCAAGGTTATGCCACTTTTCTGTCATCCGACAGTAGATGCTGTTACACCCTCAAATTCCCAGTAGCTTAATGCAATAAAAGTTTATTTCTTGCTCACATCCAGTACTAACCTCTATTTCATCCAATAAACTCCAAATGATACTGTCAGATTAACCTTTCTAAATGTGATTTTTGATTACATAATTTTCTGCCTCAAAATTTTTCGTAAATTACTTAATATGTAGAAGAAAATTCCCCATGTCATTGCCTAGCATATGCGATCCTTGAGAAATCTTTCCCCACTTTCATTTCCAGGCTCATCTGTTGTGACATTATGACACTTCCACTCTGGTTGAACAAGTATACCCTCCATCACCTGAACAGGCCTTGTATTTTCTTAACTCCGTTCTGCAATTTTTCTAGTCTTCTAAGCTTGGAATACTCTGCCTCAAACTCTCCCTCTCACAGCCCAACCAAACTTCAGGACTCAACTCAAATGCTAACCATATCATTAAGCCCTAATGTCCCCAGACACAAGCATTCTCTACCTTCTCTAATGCCTAGAGCTCTTAAGACCCATTTCATCATCTTCTACTTAACATATATAACCTTATTTTAAAGGTATCCCCAGATAAATTATAATATACCTGAAGGAAGCGATCAACCACTAGCTAATCTTTGCATCCTCTCTTACAACCCTTGAACTAGCTCATGATCTTGCTTAATGGATGTTCAAAAAAATGATAATTTAATAAAGAAGCTATAATAGGAGTTTAATAAATGCCCTGAATTTGTATCAATACTTTATTTCTTGAAAAGAAATCATGTGCCACTTAGGTCATATTTAATAACTGCTCTGAGAGTCATGAAGCCTTGAATTAATCAGTAAATATTTTGGAAGCAACAGCTTAGTGGGAGTCACCATGGAAACAGATGCATCCTCTAATGACTCATTATTGTCCCTAAACAAGCAGAAGCCCTCTTCATCATGGACTCTTCTACTCCAGCACTGCTTTCTCATTTGCTCAGGCTATTCTTTTGGCTTGACCCCCTCCTCTCCACTTACCCATATCACATCCAAGCTGTCCCTTCCAATTGTCCTTGGATACCCTGATCTGTACTGATTTCTCCTATCCGTAGACTACCATGACTCTTACTAATTGAGTCACACTTTCCCCCCAATGCTTTAAACCTAAGAGGCCTTGTGGCAGAGTGAGCAGAGTGTGGACTCTGGAGTCAGACTGAATTCAGTACTTGTGGTGCAACCTGTCTTGGAAAAACTAGTGAACCTCCCCAAGCTTTAGTTTCCTACTCAACAAAATACGCTACTACTACCCAAAGAATTATATGAAGAATAAATGATAGAACTGTACTTGAATCGCCCTGCAATTCAAGGGCCTGGCATAGAGAAGAACTCAGTAAATGGAGGTTCCCTTTCCTTGACTTTCACTAATTAAAAATACCCACTGCTTCCACTGCTACTGTGTGGATCCAAGGCATCATCTGTCATCTTATTACTGCGATGGCCTTCTTCTTTTTTTCTTTTTTAATTTATTTATTTTTGGCTGCATTGGGTCTTCATTGCTGCGTGCGGGCTTTCTCTAGTTGCGGCGAGTGGGGGCTACTCTTCTTTGCGGTGTGCGGGCTTCTCATCGCGGTGACTTCTCTTGTTGCAGAGCACGGGCTCTAGGTGCACGGGCTTCAGTAGTTGTGGCACATGGGCTCAGTAGTTGTGGCTTGCGGGCTCTAGAGTGCAGGCTCAGTAGTTGTGGTGCATGGGCTTAGTTGCTCTGTGGCATGTGGGATCTTCCCAGACCAGGGATCGAACCCGTGTCCCCTGCATTGGCAGGCGGATTCTTAACGACTGTGCCACCAGGGAAGTCCCACGATAGCTTTCTAATTGTCTCCTTGATTGCTTTTTTGCCCATGCCTACCATTTATTCACGATAGCCAAAGTGATCTTAAAAGAAAGCCAGTACAAGTCCTTCCTTTGCCCAAATCCTCTAATGGTTTCATGTTTCACTAGAGTAAAAGCCACGGTCAATGCAATGCCAATAAGACTCTGCAAGATCTCACCCTCTGTTACCTCTGCCATCATCTACTACTTTTCCCGAACTTACTTTGCTCCAGCCATACTGGCCTTCCAACTACTTTCTCAAATATGGCAGCTCATGACCCTCTCTGGACTTTGTACCTGTGGTTTCCTACTCCCGGAATCATCTTCCCTTGTGTCTACCTGTTGCCCATATGTTACTCCCTCATCTCCTCCTGAGATTTATACAAGTCACTTTCTCAGTAAGATTGTCCCTGACTACCCTATTTATTTATTTTTAAAATATTTATTTATTTATTTTCTTTTTCTTTTTTTTTTTTTTACCTGCGTCAGGTCTTAGTTGCGGCACGTGGGGCCTTCATTGAGGCGTTCTGGATCTTTCACTGCAGCATGGTCTCTTCGTTGTGGCACGTGGGCTTCTCTCTAGTTGTGGTAAGTGTGTTTCCTCTCTCTAGTCGTGGTGCGCAGGCTCCAGGGTGCGTGGGCTCTGTAATTTACGGCACGCGGGCTCTCTCGTTGAGGCGCGCGAGCTCAGTAGTTGTGGTGCGCGGGCTTAGTTGCCCCGTGGCATGTGGGATCTTAGTCCCCTGACCAGGGATCGAACCTGCCTTGCCCACATTGGAAGGTAGATTCTTTACCACTGGACCACCAGGGAAGTCCCTGACTACCCTATTTAAATTGTGCTCTCTCTAATGTTCTAAATCCTGCTTCCCTAATTTATCTTTCTCTTAGCAATTATCATCATCTAATATAGTGTAACTTACTTATTTTGTTTTACTCTATCTTCCTGTAACAGGAATGTAAGCTCCATTAAGGCAGGTATTTTTGTCTGTTTTGTTTACAGCTATAGCTCCAGCACCTAAAAAAAATAATGAGGGGCACATAATAGGCATTTAGTAAGTATTTGCTGAAGAGATAAATAAGTTATCTAGTTTTAATAGTACATCCTTTATTCTTTTATACTGATACCTTGAAGTCAAGTACCAGATCATATGCTTCCTCTGGTTTCCACCCCAGCATGTTGTAAGGGTGCAATGATAACTTGCTAATACACATCATCTTTTAATAGTCAAGCTCTTCACATCATTTTCTCAGTGACCATGTCTTTGACAGAAGCTCTCTTGTCACCTCAATGCCCGTCACAGCTTTAGGGGACAGTAGCTTCTTTATTTAGTAGCCATATGGCCTGGGTGGCAGTTGCCTACAATTTTTAAAGGTTGTGACATTGGCAATTACTGAAATGTCAAAACTCCAGGCCAACCATGTGGGTTGTGGCGACAACCATCCCACACAGTTGCTGTGGTGATGTGGGTAAACTCTATATAGCATCTGACACTGAGCCATAAGATTAGAGTTAAGATTAGCTCTATATAGTGCCTCAGGGAATGGCATTGGCTATAAGGCAGGTATACTAGACTAAAACACCTATATTAATATGAAGACTAGGGCCACCAAGAGGCAGAGGAAACATTTGTGGTTTTCTTTTTATGTTGTATGCTAATAATATGCTGTTAATCATCACTTCTAGCCATGAGATTATTGGAAAATATATTTACTAATACCACATGGTGCAGTTCTTTTTCACAGTAATGTAAATGCCAGTATTTTCTAAAGCACACTCTATTGTGATAACTTTATAAGCATAAGGTACAATAGAACATTTCTAGAGATCCTTTTATAGAATCTTTACATATACCATCTTGTTGTATCTTCATAATGAATCTAAAGTATAAGTATTATCTAAATTGTATAAATAAAGAAGGCAAGGCTAAGTAACTAGCCCAAGGTTACAGAGTGAGTGAGTGGTGGAACTGAATTTAGCACAGGTCCTCACTCCGAAGCTCTTCTGTCACTCAGTACCGCTTCCTGAGTCAGCTCCAGGAGAGAATGCTGCACTGGGCATCTCAAAAGGGATGAGCTTAGGGATTAAAAGCAAGAGGAAAAATTCCTTCTATAAAATAAATTTCTATTTCACTATGGGCATCAAAATTACAAAAGATATAAGAGAGGAAGAATTCAGTTATTTGCTGGAATTCTCTGAAGCCTGAGACTAAATCTGTAAAAAAAATATATATATAATACATATTTTATACATATTCTAATATTATATATTATTATATAATTTGTATAAAATATAATATACTATTATATAATTTATATACTATATATATACTTAAATACCTCTTAAAAGCTTTATTAAAATAAAATTGACATATGGTGAACTGCACATATTGAAAGTGAGCAACTTGGTAAGTTTTCATTTATGTGTCCTTTTGTGAAATCATTACGGCAAACAAGATAATGAATGTATCCATCACCTCCAAGATTTTCCTCATGGACTTCTTAATGCCTTCCATCCCCAGGCAACCACTGATCTGTGTTCTGTCACCATAGATTACTTTGTATTTTTATAAAGTTTCATAGAAATTGACTCATCCAGTGTTTATCTTCCTTTTCCTGGTTTCTTTCATTCAGCATAATTATTTTGAGATTTGCTACATTGCTAGGTGTATCCATGGTTTACTGCTTTCTGTTGATTTGAGTAATATTCCATTGGACTAATGGCCATCCAGATTTTCCAGTGCCATCATTTCTCTGAATTGCTTGTATACCTTTGTCAAACCAGTTTTCCGTATACACGTGGGTCTTTTTCTGAATTCCCTATTCTGTTCTGTTGATCTATTTTTCTGTCTTTATGCTGTTACCACACCGTTTGGATTACTCTATTTTTAGACTGAGTCTTGAAGTCAGGTAGTGTTAATCCACCAACTTTCTTCTTTTTTTTTGAGAGTTGTTTTCAGTATTCTAGTTCCTTTGCATTTCCATAAAATATATTTAATTGGTTTGTCAGTTTCTGTTTAAAAAAGACTACTAAGAGTTTAATTGGAATTCTTCAAATCCATAGATAAATTTGGGAGAATTGACATCTTAACGTTATTGAGTTTCCTGATATGTACACACAGTGTATCTCTTTTTTTAAAAATTTATTTAAATCATCGTAAGTTTTCTGAGTGACGCTTTGTAGTTTTCAGCATAAACACTTGCATGTCTATTGCCAAATATACCCCTCAGTATTTCACATTTTTAATATTATTTTAAATAGTACTAACTTAAAAAATTTTTTTTATACAGCAGGTTCTTATTAGTTATCTATTTTATACATATTAGTGTATACCTGTCAATCCCAGTCTCCCAATTCATCACACCACCACCAACCCTGCCACCGCTTTCCCCCATTGGTGTCCATAAGTTTGTTCTCTACATCTGTGTCTCAATTTCTGACCTGAAATTGGTTCATCTGTACCATTTTTCTAGGTTCCACATATATGTGTTAATATACGATATTTGGTTTTCTCTTTCAGACTTACTTCACTCTGTATGACGGTCTCTAGATTCATCCACATCTCTACAAATGACCCAATTTTGTTCCTTTTTATGGCTGAGTAATATTCCATTGTATATATGTACCACATCGTCTTTATCCATTCATCTGTCAATGGGCATTTAGGTTGCTTCCATGACCTGGCTATTGTAAATAGTGTTGCAGTGAACGTTGGGGTGCATGTGTCTTTTTGAATTATGATTTTCTCTGGGTATATGCCCTGTAGTGGGATTGCTGGGTCATATGGTAATTCTATTTTTAGGTTTTTAAGGAACCTCCATACTGTTCTCCATAGTGGCTGTATCAATTTACATTCCCACCAACAGTGCAAGAGGGTTCCCTTTTCTCCACACCCTCTCCAGCATTTGTTGTTTGTAGATTTCCTGATGATGCCCATTCTAACTGGTGTGAGGTGATACCTCATTATAGTTTTGATTTGCATTTCTATAATAATTAGTGATGTTGAGCAGCTTTTCATGTGCTACTTGGCCATCTGTATGTCTTCTTTGGAGAAATGTCTATTTAGATCTTCTTCCCATTTTTAGATTGGGTTGTTTGTTTCTTTAATATTCAGCTGCATGAGCTGTTTATATATTTTGGACATTAATCCTTTGTCCATTGATTCGTTTGCAAATATTTTCTCCCATTCTAAGGGTTGTCTTTTCGTCTTGTTTATGGTTTCCTTAGCTGTGCAAAAGCTTTGAAGTTTCATTAGGTCCCATTTGTTTATTTATTTTTTTATTTCCATGACTCTAGGAGGTGGATCAAAAAAGATCTTGCTGTGATTTATGTCAAAGAGTGTTCTTCCTATGTTTTCCTCTAAGAGTGTCCAGTCTTACATTTAGGTCTCTAATCCATTTTGAGTTTATTTTCGTGTATGGTGTTGGGAAGTGTTCTAATTTCATTCTTTTACATGTAGCTGTCCACTTTTCCCAGCACCACTTATTGAAGAGACTGTCTTTTCTCCATTGTGTATCCTTGCCTCCTCTGTCATAGATTAGTTGACCATAGGTGCGTGGGTTTATCTCTGGGCTTTCTATCTTGTTCCATTGATCTGTTTCTGTTTTTGTGCCAGTACCATATTGTCTTGATTACTGTACCTTTGTAGTAGAGTCTGAAGTCAGGGAGTCTGATTCCTCCAGCTCCATTATTTTCCTTCAAGACTGCTTTGGCTATTCGGGGTTCTTGTGTCTCCATACAAATTTTAAGATATTTTTATTCTAGTTCTGTAAAAAATGCCATTGGTAATTTGATAAGGATTGCATTGAATCTGTAGATTGCTTTGGGTAATATAGTCATTTTTACAATATTGATTCTTCCAATCCAAGAACATGGTATATCTCTCCATCTGTTTGTATCATCTTTAATTTCTTTCATCAGTGTCTTATAGCTTTCTGCATACAGGTCTTTTGTCTCCCTAGGTAGGTTTATTCCTGGGTATTTTATGCTTTTTGTTGCAATGGCAAATGGGAGTGTTTCCTTAATTTCTCTCTCAGATTTTTCATCATTAGTGTATAGGAATGCAAGAGATTTCTGTGAATTAATTTTGTATCCTGAAACTTTACCAAACTCATTGATTAGCTCTAGTAGTTTTCTGTTGGCATATTTAGGATTCTGTATGTATAGTATCATGTCATCTGCAAACAGTGACAGTTTTACTTCTTCTTTTCCAATTTGTATTCATTTTATTTCTTTTTCTTCTCTGATTGCTGTGGCTAGGACTTCCAAAACTATGTTGAATAATAGTGGTGAGAGTGGACATCCTTGTCTCATTCCTGATCTTAGAGGAAATGCTTTCAGTTTTTCACCACTGAGAATGATGTTTGCTGTGGGTTTGCCATATATGGCCTTTATTATGTTGAGGTAGGTTCTCTCTATACCCACTTTCTGGAGAGTATTGATCATAAATGGCTGTTGAATTTTGTCAAAAACTTTTTCTGCATCTATTGAGATGATCATATGGTTTTTATCCTTCAATGTGTTAACATGGTTTATCACATTGATTGATTTACATATATTGAAGAATCCTTGCATCCCTCAGATAAATCCC